TTTTTTCGATTTGGTTTATTTAGCCAATAATATTCTTTCCACGTGAAATATCATAAAAAAAATTTTTATTTTAAAAATTTCGATTTAAGCCAAATCTTTCGATTTATTTTAAAAAATTATTTTCGAAAATTTTACGGGTCCCTGACTATAATTGCGTGATTTATTTTATTCAATAAAAATTAAAATTTTTAAGAGTTAGAGAAAATTTATTTATTATATAGGTAAATAAATTATTATATACTTATTAATGAATTAGATTTAATGAGAAAAATTTGTTAAACAAATGATTAAGTTAGTTAAGCATTATTCTTACAAAATGTCAAATAAAATTAAAGATACTAATGAAATTATGATTGATGCTGAATATGTATTAGTATCAGGAAAATGAATTAAAAAAGAATCAACAGGAATAAAAAAATTAACTGATAAGAAGAAGACTATTAGACCAAAATTTTTTCTTGTTATTATTAACATAAATATAGTCAGAAATTAATTATTTTGTAATTTAAATTAATATAAAATTTTTTGAATAATACATTACAAGTTTGTAAAATATCTATAATGTTCAATAAATTTATACCACTTAAAAAAGAATAAAAAAAATTTATGAACTTTTAATAAAATATTTAAATTTACAAATTTAAATAAATATTCTGTTATTATTTTTTTGCATTTAGAATACTATATTATTTAAATGATTCTATTATATAAAGATATATATAATTTATTTTTATTATAACATTCAAAATATTTTTTTATAGATACACAAAATTAAAGTAATAGAACATTCTTATAGAAATAATTAATTATTTTCTTTTTCTTTTTATTTTTTATCTCTACTAATTTTTGCCTCAAAAATTTAGTAATAGATCTGACTTCACAGAAAAGTAACTCTAGTAGTAAAATATATAAACATAATTGTAAAACTTTTAGCTTAAATAAAGATAATTTATCTTAGAAATTATATTGTAAAAACATTAAATAGCATGAGTATCTTATTTTTTTTATTGTTATATATGAAAAACAATATAATATTTTAAGTGTAATAAAGAATAATCGTATAAAATATTAGATAAATAAGAATTTATGTAAATGATTAAGATGTAATCTAAGTTAATAATTTTATTATGATAAAGAATCTTCTTATTCATTTCATTCTTTAACGGTTGATCTAAAACATCTTTCTTTATAGGTTAATTTTGTATAACTCTAATTTAAAACTATTTTTATATAATCATATACAATAAAATCTCAATCATAATTGTGATCAGTTTTATATATTTATATATATATTTATTTGAAATTTGAATGTAAAATACCAGTCATTTTTGTACTTAATTTATATTATTTAAAAAATTGATATATTATTTTTGACAGCAATAATAATAAAAACAAGTAAGAGCAATAAAGTAAAAGTAAAAGTTTTATTGTAAAAATTATTAAAAAAACATATTTTTAATCTTTTAAAAAAAAAAGAATAATTTTTAATTCTATAGTAGTAATATAAAAGTAATAAAAATAAAACTAAAAATAAGCACAATCAGCATATTTTATTATATTATTATTTTTCATTAATTATAGCAATTTTCTATTATTAAAACTAGTTTTAAGAGTTAGTTTGTATATTTTCTAAATTAAGAATTTATATTTCTTAAACTTAATCTTGTAATTGTAATTTTTCTAATTTAATCATTTGATCCAGTTTATTTCAATTTCTTCTTCAGTTATTTTTTTTATTAAATTGTTTTTAGCTTTTTAATATTGCATATTAAAAATAGAATTATTTTCAACATCAATTAACATTCTCTTCAATTCAAATAAAATATCTAACTAATCTCAAATTCTCTTATTTAATTTTCTTTTAATATTATTAATGACCTTTTCCAATTCATTATTTTTACTTGCCAATTAATAAGTCAAAATTTTCTTTACTTCTTCTTTTAAAAGAGTAAAAGAAAAATCATTCTCATTTTGTATTAAAATTAACTAACCTTTTAACTTAAGATTAAAGTTGTTCTTCTAACTTATTTATTTTTGTTTCTAATTTTTCTATATGAATAGTATAAAGATCAAACATATAGTTGCTACTATATCTCATACTATAGAATCCCATTCTATCTCAAATCCCATACTATATTTAAAATGCTACATCCTATATCTTATATCCCAAATCCCAATTCCAAATCCCAAATTTCATTTAATTTATAATATATTTTTAAGTATATTTTAATTAATATCTTATTTTAAAGATAATGCTGCAACTAGTTGTAACTATGACAAATAAGCATCATAGGATTGCAACTAGTTGCAATAATAATAAAAATTAGATTGCAACTAGTTGTAACTGTAATAAATAAGCATCACATAATTGCAATTAGTTGCAGCATCATTTTTATCTTACTTACAAAAATAAAATAATAATTATTTAAATCTGTTTATAAAAATGAAGCTATTGAACTAAAATATCATTAAATTATTATCATTAATTATAATGATATTATTTGTTAAAGTTTTAGTTTAATGAATGAGATTTGGGATGGGATGGAATAGGATTGGAATTTATCCCATACCCATATAGTATGGATAACAAGTATAATAAGACATTTTTTTTGATCATAGTTAGTTCAGAACAATGAGAAGAGTTTGTTTATTGATATTTTTCTTGATCCTGTGAAAGAGAGTGAGAAAGAATGAAAGTGAGAGTGAGTGAGAGTGAGAGAGTGAATGAGAGTAAGAGTAAGAGAAGAGAGTGAGTGAGAGAAAGAGTGAGAGAAGAGAGTGAGAGAAAGAGTAAGAGAAAGAGTGAGAGTAAGAGTGAGAGTAAGGGTAAGCGAGTGAGAGTGTGAGTATGTGTGAATAGTGTAAGTTAAATTTACTAGAATTTGGCAAAAAGAAATACTAAGTAAACTCTGAAAGCTAACCTGCAATCCTTTTAAAAGGAGTGTTAATTCATCTAAATCCAAGGTTTGTATTAATTTACTGGCCTTAGTTCGCGCACGCTTAAAGACATTTCGGCTATTAAATATATTTTTTAAGTGTTGTTGAAAGGCATTAAGAATATTTGTAGCATCAACATTTATGAAGTCAATTTTTCCAGATAAATCTTGTAAGATTCCTGACATACTCCAATTTGTATGACGGTGATTCACCAAGTACTTTGCAATATGTTGATCCATATCCATATCTTTGTTTATTATAAAAAAAAAAAATTAGACTGAATCTAAACAAGCAGACAATAAATGTAACAAATCTACTAGTGGAATATATCAAATGTCAATCATAGAAATCACGCAAGTCTTCCCTATTTTTTTTTCTAGCTAGTATTGCTAATAGTCAGTACAACTTGGTTAAACATATGATACATTTGACAATAGTCACTAGATAATTGTTAGCATTTAAAATGCGCATTATATCCAACATATCTAAAGTTGAACCTTACAAAGTCCTAACCCGAGGGCTTCATAAGAAGTTAATTAGAAATTTTGGTTGCATACTTTAAATTAATTTAACCACTTGTATAAAGAAGGTATATAACCATTCATCCTTCAGAATGATAGTCCTTATAGACAATCAGAAAAACTTCTGAATATTGCACGTAAAGAAAAAGTTTTCTACTAGCCTTTAATGTTCACCGAAAGACAATGGTATATCGAGTATAAATTCAGAATGAAGACCGAACCAATACCAAAATCAAGCTCTTTTCCCCTCTTATTTTTTTTTTTTTTTTGAAAACCTTATTGATAATAACTTTTTCAAATAATAGCAAAGAAATTTTTCGGTTTTTAATTTGTTTATATAAAAAGTGTGAGAAGAAAAATAAAATGTTGTGATGGTTGAAAATCGTTTATTTATCTAAATAAAAAAATGATATCATCTGACGAAAATTTCCATTAAAAAATGATGTAATCTAAATCTTTCCAACCTAAAAAAAAAAAAAAAAAATTGATTATTTAAATATATTTTTTATTTGTAAAATAAATTTGACGTGGTCCATATTTTTTCAAGACCTTGTGCGAAAATTGTGATGGATAGTGCGCAACATTATATAAAATATTTTACTAATGATATATAAGTGCGGAAATTACAAAATGAAAAGCGAAAAATTTATTAAAAAAATAATTTTTATTAATAATATTATAATATAATATAATGTAATTATATTTGTTTACATATAGGATAATAAGAAAATAACTATTTCATGTAAATAAATTTATTATCAAAATCACAAACATTTTTATTCTAAGTATGATGTTAAATATCAGTTTAAAAAGGTGATTTAAGCGAGATAGAAGAATCATCAAATCAAGTTACTTGTGAAATCATTTCACAAGTTACTTGATAAATTTTTTTTACAATGTATAATGTAACATTGATATAAAGCTTTGTTGAAAGCTCTTTGCTTTGTGTATAACAAAGTATAACCAGTAGTAGTATAACTTGGATATGTATTTGTGAAATCATTTCACAAGTTACTTGATAAATTTTTTTTTTACGATGTATATTGTTTAAAGATGTCTTTTGCTTTGTGTATAACCAAGCATAACCAGTATTAGTATAACTTGGATTCATAGTTATCATTTCACAAGTTACTTTATAAGTTTTTTTTTACGATGTATAATTTAATATTGATACGAAGACATTTGTTTAAAGGTATCTTTGTGTATAACAAAGTATAACCAGTATTAGTATAACTTGGATTTGTTTTTTAAAATAGATTCAAAAGTTATTGGTGAAAGAATAATGGAATACCATTGTTTTTAAATAAAAAATGGAAGTTGATATATATCAGGAAAAAAAAATAGGGCGTTTTTTTTTGTGTTTCGGAAATGTTGCACATTATTAATCACTTCGAGATCAAAGATGGAGATCGAGATATTGATTAATATGTAGGAAGAAGGAAGCATTACAAGCTTATTTTGGCGGTTGCCGGGACTTTCATATCCAATAAAACGCAATTAATTATTAAGCGTCTATTTGTCAGAAGATGAACAATATTTTTTAATTGTGTAATTTTCAAATTCGGAAAGGTTTTACTTCTAAATAGATTCCATTGAAGCGTACCCAAAAGATTTATTTCTAACGCTTTTTAGTTAATCTTCTTCTATATCACATGGTCTTTTATTTATTACACAATAATAAATCACGTTGACAAGCGATTGGCTATTCACGAATATATCATATTTGGCGGAGTCTAAACGGAGTGAATGGATAAATGATGTCATTTCTGGCCTTCCCCGAACTGTTCCAATTTTTAGGATGGTACAAAATGAACAGGTGTAATATATCAATAACCCGTGATTCATGGCACATCAATTATTTAACCCGGCAGATCATCCAAATGAAAATGAAATTTTTACCCCCCGATCTTTTGAAAAAAAAATTTCACTTTCAGCCGAGATTAAACAGAACGACCCTTGTCTTGTTGGTAATCATTTTTTGTTTTTTTTGATCAGACTCGGCGAATTTTGTAATCAAAACTCTGTTTTTTTAATTGTCAATCTTTTCTTTTTTAAGTTGTGCATTGCCCACTTGTAAATAAAACGGGTTTTCAAACGTATTAACCAATTTTACTATAAGGTATTTCATCATTGTTATCTACACCATTTTCTGTCTGTTAGTCAAATTAATCGTTGATATCTTTCTCTCAATTTTCTTATATCCAGTTTTTTTGAAAAATGGGATCGAAAACGTTACTTTTGACTACGGGAATGTTAATAAGTGGTGTTTGCAATACCATTTTGAACAAATACCAGGATATGACGTGTGTTAAAGATTGCGATAATAAAAATCCAGAATACTTTGAACAACCAGTATGGCAAACTTTTAATATGTTTGTTGGAGAAACGATGTGTTTCATATTAGTTTATGCAATTTTGGTTTGGGAATACCATCAAACTAGAAGATATGCTCCTTTGGGTCCCGATGGTACTGTGACAGATGGTTCCGAGGAAATTACCGTTGTAGCTGAAGACGATGAAGTAATTAAAGTTGATGACGATGAATTCCATGGTGCTACTGAAGAATTGACCGGATGGCGTGTATTTTTGTTTTGTTTGCCTACATTATGCGATATTTGTGGAACTACAGTACGTGTTAATCAATTTTTATATCAAAGTTTTAATTAATTCATTTAATAATTTTTTTTTTTGTAAAGCTTATGAACGTCGGATTGATCTATACCTCGGCATCAGTTTATCAAATGCTTCGTGGAGCAGTTGTATTATTCACCGGTTGTTTCTCCGTATTATTCCTTCGTCGACATCTCTACGCATATCATTGGTTTTCTCTTTTCCTTGTGGTTTTAGGTGTTTCGATTGTTGGCATGAGTAGTATTTTATTCCCTTCTGTAAAGGTATTGGGTACGATTGAAAATCTTTCGGTTAATGAAACAGAAATCATTTCATCAACTGATCCTACCCATTCCATAATTATAACGGATTCAAATAGCGCTTATGATAATAATAATTCTTCTACTGATGCTTTTATTGGAGTTTTCTTTGTTCTATTCGCTCAAATTTTTACAGCAAGCCAATTTGTTATTGAGGAGAAAATTATGGAAAGATATCGTGTTAAACCTTTACGTGCAGTTGGACTTGAAGGAATATTCGGACTTTTAACGGTTCTATTTGGTGCTACAATATTATACTTTGTCATAGGAATACATCATCCTGATGGGTATTTTGATATTCCAGCAGGATGGAATCAGATCATTTCTTTTGAACAAATTTGGATTACAGGGATTGCAATCTGCTTCTCTATCGCATTTTTCAATTTCTTTGGTTTATCGGTTACTAGAAGGTTAAGTGCCACAGCAAGATCAACTATTGATACTTCTCGTATCGTATTGGTTTGGACGGTTTCACTCTTTCTTGGTTGGGAAAGCTTCTCTTGGCTTCAAGTAATTGGTAAGTTTATTAAGACCTGAGTTTTATATATATATATATATTTATTTATTTATTTATATGTTGATATTAACCACATTATTGATACATGTAGGATTTATTATTCTTGTACTGGGTACATTCACTTTCAATAATGTTATAAGTCCTCCACCTTGTTTCTCAGTACCTACACCGGATTCACAAGAAGTTCGACCTTTATTGCCTGAAGATCATGAACATAGATAATTGGATTAATATTTTGTTTATGAAAAAAGTTGAGAAAAAAATCGATTTCTTGAAAGAATTAGAACGTTGATTTTAACGAGATCATATATAGTTGACAAAGTAGGAAATATTATATATAGTTTAGTTAAGTTGGTATATATTAATAAGCCAACACTACTTTGATGTGGCTTGCGTTACCGATTTCCTTAATTGGGTAAATTCCCAAGGATCACAATAAAATTTACGCTAGCCCCAAATTTTTTTTTTCTTTTCACGTTAATAACAAATTTCAGTAAGAAAAGAAAAAAAAATAATACTATATACACATTATTTTCGTAAAAAATTTAGATTTATAATTTATTAGATATAATTCACAAAAAAAAAAAATTCTCTTTTTTTTGGCATTAATTTTTATTTTCTATATATTTCAATATCAATTTATAATTTTCTTTTTACAAATTACTTAATCTCTATATACCAAATAAACCTATTTGTAACCAAAATATTAAAGAATACAAAGAATCTTAACATTATAATATTAATAAAAAAGCATTACATGATTAACTTACAAGATCTATTCATTTTCACCCCACTTGCGAATAGTTATGTAAGTGGTATAAAATAACGAAAAAACACCAAACATAAATATAAAAACGTCTAATGATTTGGCACCAAAAGAACGAGCAGCCGCTTTATAATGGAAAAGAGGTGGATATAAGAAACATAATGGTACACTACAAAAATATAAAAGATCATTTAATAACTTTTGTATTAAACTAAATTTATAACATGGAAAAAAGTATTGCTTGCTTACCATGCGAATGATCCTATTAATGAAACAAATTTATCTAAATCACTAGCGCCGCCCCAAGAAATTAAAGCACAAGCAACAACTGTTAGGAAACGGAAAATGTTCTTTTGCCATTTAACATAAGGGTCATGTTTGCCACTTTTTTCAAATAATCCTTGTTCCATAATTCTAATTGCTGGAAATAATTGAAGCGGAATTGATAATAAAATGGCTAAAGCATATAGGAACTGAACTGTCTGAACAATTGGATCATCAGATGGTAAATTGATAATCACTACCGTCTCAATAGCACTGCCAAATGTAGCATATGACAAAGCTCCCATTGACGTGAAAAGAACAGTAATGAAAACCATCACGCCTGTTAATACACCAGGGAATCTCTCGGGCTCTTTCATAGATTCAGTAATGGGAATAATCTAAAATTGAAACGATTATATAAATGAATGAATAATCAATTGCAATACAACGTATGTGTATTCGCATATTTAATATGAACTTACCAGTCCAATTCCCTCAAAAGTGAAAACAGCGGTGCCAATAAATAACGCAAAATCTTCAGGATTAAATGGTTTAATATCACTTACTCCATCTTTTACCAATTTACTTATATCAAAATAATATAAATATAAAAGACCAAACATAATAAAAGCATCTGCAATTAATGCAGTAAAAGAAAGTCTTGATATACGTCGAATCATCGCGAGTGGCACAAAAACAAATAATTGTCCAATAATATACATATATAAATCTGTTCGGATACCCATAACTTGTTCCGCGACTGACTTGAGATTTTTAGCGACGAAAATCATATAAGCACATACGAATCCAATCTATTTAGATAAAATATATGTTGTATATATGTTAATATTATATGAAGCTTTAGCCATTGATGCATTTGCGAAATCCAATATTACCTGAGAAATAGTGATGGAAAATAACACTGCCAACCTCATCCAATTACCATATAAAACCCCACCAATACCTGTTCAAAATGAATGATGAATAAAACGTAAGTTTAACGCAAACCAAAGGTATGAAAAGGTGATTGGATAATTACATACCACCAAAACCATATGGAACGTGTAATCGCGTCTGTACCAGTAGCAGGAAAGAGACTAAAGATATTAAACCTATAAAAACCAAAACGACAGAAGAAAAAACCATACCACCATTACAAAATCTGTTAAAAGATATATGAAACCCAATTATATGATATATGATCATAATCGAGTTGAAAATTTTGCATTCATTAGTAAAAGGTATAGGCATAAAAGAAAAGCATAGAGTTATATATTAAATATTTACGCTTTTGGCAAGAACATAACACCAGTTCCAACAAAGGATTTTAAAAGCAAAAACACGGCTTTGGAAGGAGTTGCAGTGCCTCCTTCAGTAGCTCTTTCTCTTGGAATCAAAGGAGTTGCTTCTGAAATCACAATATTATCATAATCATCCTCATCTTCATCCTCATCCTCTTCATCATCTGACAAATCTTCACCAGCGAAATGACCATACATTGTTAAGAAATCAATGAAATTTCGAGTGATTATATTCGGTGGCTCTTTGCCAGCTTGTCTTGCTTTCATTATAACATGGTGGCGACGGAAGCCTCCCGGCTCCCTGATATTGGAAGTATCTGGATCAGTAGGTCGTGGCAAATGTAAGGAATGTGAACGGGTACGCTTCATGGGGGCATTTTCTATTTCTGCATGCCATTTATAAACCTCATGAGTTGCATCACCTCCAGGTAATTTATGTGAGGTAGAATAAAGTGCATGATTGTTCCCCGAACTTCCATAATGTTCAGAATTACCAGCAAGATCATCCTCGGTGACGAGATGCTTTTTGACAATTTCGGCTTGCTTTTGTTTGGGAATATCAATAGCAAAAGATTCCGGTGTCTGGTTAAAGGATCCAAAAGAATCCGTAACAGGAAATTTTCCAGAACTGCTAAGATGACTGTCTAGTGCATTCTGTCCAGAATAAGGTTGAGACTTTGAGAGCTGCGAGTATGACTGAGCTAATGGGGGAGAAGCTGCCAAACGATTTATATTATTTTGACGGTTAAATGAACTTGGACTAAGTCCAATATCTTGTGCCCCATTACGGTTCGGTGAGTTGATTTTTTTTCCACGTCTGATTTCTACAGGCTCGGCATATGCTGGAGAAACCATATTTTTGTTTTGGTTTTTTTTTTTCTTTTTTACTCAAGGAAGAGATTGTAAGACAAAAAAAAGGATCGAAAAACGTTTTATATATATTATATATATTATATATATATTATAAATATAAATTATTATATAATATATTTATATTATATTTTATTTTATTTTATTTTATTTATATTCAGGAAATAAATATCCAAGAATAGGAATATTTTATTCCGTTTGAGCCGAGGTTTTTAAAAAAAAAAAAAAAAAATTGATCATAAGGTCGTGTCACACTCGCGTGATATCGTCACGCAGACTATCCTTCGGCATATTGATCTAATTTGGATAAGCTAAGCGTGCACCTCTTTTGTTTTAAAAAAAATAAAGTTCAGAGATAAACATTGCTATTATATAAAGAAAGCTAGATCCTTTTTCGAAAAAAAAAAGTTATATAATGATGTCAACAAACAAATTCATGTGCTACTTTTGTGACATTTAAACATGATTTATTCTTGAGAACACACACAAATCACATGAAGTTTATTTACAAAATCAGATGCATATCTGCATATCTTCAATAACAAGGAGGAGTTTAATGTTTCAATTGATCCGCTACTTCCCGCAAACTTAGCCTACTTTTAAAGGCTAAAGCAGAAATGGATCTTTTACCTGTAGATTTTTTTTATGTATTTTTCACGTATTAAAAAAACGTTCCCTTCGATCAGGATTGATGATTGAGTATTGTTAATCTATTATTTTATAAAGAGATATTTTTTAATTAGATCGAATTTCTAAATTTTTAATGTATATAATAATAATATCAATATTTTCAAAAATCTTATCAAAATAAATTTAATAGATAAAATTAATATAGTTACAAAAAATTAATTTACCTTATGTTATTTTCTTTAATAATAAAATAATCAAATATTTAAATATTGAATTATTCATATTGATTATAAATAAATTATTTAAAAAATTATTTTACTAACATAGTTTAAATTCATTTTATTAAAATATAAGAAATTTTAAATTATAATGATAATAATTGTAATATAAAAACTAAATTAAATTAAATTTAATAAGTATTTTCAATAAAAATTCTATAAAAATTATAAAATTTAAATAGCTTAAAATGAAAATTAAGAATAATATTAAAAATTTATAAAAAATATAAATTTAAAGCTATTAAATAAATAAACTAATATAGTCAAACTAATACTTATATAAACATATTTCTTTATAATTATCTGATTTTGACAAAGTATATTTAAATAATAATAAATTATTTCTATATTAACTATAATCATTATTACCTTATAATTCTTAACTTTTAAATTCCATTTAGTATATCTAATTACTAACTTAATAAGTATTATATTGGATTAAAATTTTAACTAAAAGTTTTCATAAATTATTAAATGATAGGTTAGCACTAGTATTCAGCTATATTACTTGATAAAAAGTTAAGTAAAACTTTTATTCAAATTTAAAGATATGAACTAAACTCACTATATTATTATATAACTTGAAATTTAAATTTAACTTTAATTTTAGTATAAACAAAATATTATTATAGTTGAAAATAATACAAAGTAACTAATTAAAACTTAATGACTCATATTAAATTAAAAGCTAATTATTTATAAATAATATGATACTTGTCTATTACAAACTAGTTTTCATTAATTATCTAATTTTAAACTCAATAGTTTTAGTAAATCAAAATCACTATAACCTTTATCTATTATTAAAAAGATTTAATAATAAAAAAATTTATATTTTATGAGTTATTATCAACTTAAATAGATATTATTAAGATCATTATATTTTACAAACTTATAATTTATTTACATATATGATTTATATATATCTTATAAAATTCAATTGTAAAATTAAATCAATAAAAATTCTATAATAATTAATATCATAATCTGTATTAAACTGATTAAACTGATAGTTTATTACTATATAATCTATAATAAAAATTAAATTATTATCTACTAAACTAAGATCACTAATCTTTTATCTTATAATTCTTAATATATATTTTCATTATATTAATAATTTAAAATTTTTTATAATTACTATAATTTAATTAAGATATAATTAATTTAGAATAAAGTATAAAACTATATATAACAAAAAATATCCTGATATCTATTTGCTTAATAATTGAATTAATTTTGATTGACTTTTGTAATTATATAAAATCCTAAATAAAGTAAATATCTGTGTGAATTTTTTAGTTAAGATTATTCAAAACTTAACAACAATTCCAGTTTTTTTAGTTTTAATTAAAATTATTATTTACAAAACTTATAATTATTATACAAATTTTTTATAATAATTTATAATACACTTATTTTATAAAAGAAATTGTTTAATTCAATTTATTAATTTATTATGAAATAGCTATCACTAAAAATAATTGATCTATATAATTATATAATTTATAAATTAAATTTTAATTTTAAAAAATTATAATTTTATACAATTATATTTTTATATAATTAACATTTTTTAGAAAACTAATTTATATAACTATATAGAAATCTAACTGTATATATAAAATAAATTTTACTTTCTCATGATGATAATATTATTAACAAGATTAACTAAATTAAATATATTAAATAATACTACAATATTTTTATAGGTTATTAAGTTTTACTTTATTTTAAATTAGTAGTAAAAGTAGATTAAAAGTTTTGTATAAATATGATAGAAATTTTATGTAATTTTAACAAATAGTTATTAAAATTAATTTTATAATTAGTTTTTAGTAAATCTTAAAATAATTAATTTTTAATTAGTTAATTTTTTATTGAATTTATTTAATAAGTTTATGAACAAAAGTTTATTAAATTATTAATAATATAAATCTAATTTCTTTATTTAATAAAATCAACTTTTATCCTATAACTTTGATTAGTTAAACTTATGACATAAAATCTAATTATCATTATTAGTTTCTTATATATATTAATTATCTTAATTTATATTAATAATTCTATTGATATGAACAAAACTTTAAGATTAATATAAATTATTAATTTTTAAAAACTTAAAATTTTACTATACATATTAAAGTCTATTTTTAGTCAATAAACTTATAATCAACTTATATCACATTATATTAATTCATAATTATTATTCTATTTTTTTTCTTAAAAAAACTAGTTTAATTAAAAAAATTAATTACTAAAAAATAAATCAAAAGTTTCTTATTTTCTTAATTTATTTATATAAACTTATTAATTATAAATACTTTTTTAATATAACTAAATCATTTATATTAAATTCAAAATTATTTTGTTATTTAAATAATTAATAAAAATTTTTAATCTATTTTTTTTTAAGTTATTAAAGATATTTCTTAATCATTATTATCATTATTTTTATTATCTTCAGCTTTCTTTTAAACTAAATTAATAATTTTATCTTCTATAAAATTTTCTTTAATTGAAATTTCTTTATTAAGATTTTGAAAATTTTTCTTATATTATTATTTTTTTTAAAATCCTCAATATAATTTTCAATTTTATTTGCTTTAATATTTTAAACTTTATCAACATCAATATTATATAGGATAATAATTATATAATCTATAAATGTGATATAATACCAAATATTAAAAATAGCAAACATATTAAATATATCAACATATTAAATATATTAAATATATTTAATATTTAATATATTTAATATAATTAATAGTTAATATATTTGATTTATTAAATATAATATTAAATATATATATATAGAAACTAAATTTATTATAGAAAAAGATAATTATTAATTACTCTTACCAATGTAAAAAATTTGCCTTAGAAAAATAATTTATAAAGTCATTGAATTTAATTTTATATGATTATATTAAAGAAGATTTTAATCAACATATTGTATTAGAAAGTTAAGCTAATTTATTTAATTTGAAGGATTTATAAAATTCACCTAATTTACCTGATTTATTTGATTAACTTATTTATTAAATTCTTTATGTATTTATTATTTTCATTATAATTATTATTTTTATTATTTCTTTTATTTTTATTATCATTATATTTTATCCACTAAACTTGATAGTAATTTAGTAATTCCTATTAGAAAATAAAACTATTGAGAAAAGTAGAGAAAAGTTTAAGAGAGAAGATAAAGAAGATAAAATGTTAATTTAAGATTACACAAATATTACACAAAAGCCTAACAAATAGTATTCACCTTTTTCAACCTCATGAAAGCTTATATAATATTTTAGTCATATGAAGCTTATTGAAAATCACCTGACTAAATGCTAAATTTTAATTGAATAAAGAAGATAATGAATGCAAATTTAATACAAGAGATATAGACATCATTATTTTAACTTTGACTGATTGGAATTTTACAAAATTTAGACCATTAAAACTGTCAAATCTTAAGAAGCATAATGAAATATATTTATTTAAATCAAACTATTAAATAGCAAGATAATTGAAGAAACATTATTTTTATTTTTATTTTATTACTTAGATTCATGAATTAATAGATAAAGTTTTTTATTTTAGTTTTAGTTTAAGTAATTATAGATAAGGTTTTCATTAAGCCTAAATAAAAAACTGAGAGTTTTGAGTTATTATTGATCCTAATAAAAAGTGAGAGTTATTATTAAGCTTATAGATGAAAGCATAAGAAATATTAGAATTTTTGAAAAGGTTTATCACTTAGCTATTAAATAAAATAAAAGAATAGTTTAAGATATCAGATAGTTTACCAAAGGACCTATGTAAATAGATTTAATTAATTAATTAAAAGTTAGCTAATAGACTAATCAAGTATCTATAGTTAACTATATCAATATTTTTGAATTAAAAAAATTTTTAAGAAGATTTTTGATCATGTAATATAGCAAATAATATAACATTAGTAAATGAGATTAATTTATTTAGAAACTAAAAAGCAAAAGTATTAACAGTGTAATTAACAGCTCTTAAAATAATATTGGATAATTTAAAAAGGCAAAACGGTATAATGTGTAAAAT